GCCTGCCCGCTCGCTCACCGCTGCGCCCGCGGGGTCCTCGAGTCGCCCAGACAGGCCAGGCCGCGTCCGCACCGCGCTGCCGCGCCCGCGAACCCCGCGCCGAGAAGAAACAGGCGCGCCGCGGCCTCCACCCTCACCGCTCAGGGAGACGAGCCCCGCCCACGCCCGCCCGCGCAAGGACACGCCCACACCCAGAACACGCCCACCCCGGGCGGGCTCCGCCCACGGCAGTCCCGCCACCGCAGGCCACGCCCCCAGACCCGCCCGGCCACGCCTTCTCGGGGGGCCGAGCGGAGCGGCTCTTCCTCAAGGTCTTTCCCAGACTTCCCAAGAAAATTCCGGGGCGCATAAAGTGGACAAAACCCCCAGCACTAGATGATCCACGGGCGCCCTTCGCCTGGCAGATGATGCCCTGGGCTTAAAGGAGCACAGCATGAGCTTTTCCCGCCCGCGTCTCCACCGGAAGGAAGCTTGCCAGGGCGATGGCATCGCTGTGGTGATGCACCGCGGTGAGCGAACAAGCGTACGTTTTAAAAACCTTGAAAATAACCCCAAGTAAAAAAGTAATTCAGGGTCCCCGGGCGTGGTGGTGCACACCTGTAATCCCAGCACGCCAGAGTCTGAGGCGGGACCATCAAAGTTCAAGCTCAGCCGGGCGGCTTGGTGACTTAGCGAGAGAGACTCTGTCTCAAAATTAAAAAGTGCTTGGGTTACAGCTCAAGGAGAAGGCCTTGGAGCCAGTCCCCAGTCCTGCCGAATACACGGGCGGGACCTGCGGACAACATTTAAAACTAAGGGTGTGCTCAAATTTAACATTAATGATTTTATTCTACATCTTACTGCTTCATGGAATTGCTGCAGATAGGTAAACCAATTCAGCCATTTAAATAAATGACACTGAAGAGCTGGGCTGGAACTCGGTGGAGAGTGCTTACCCAGCGTTGGTGAGGCCGGAGGGGGGCCTCCATCCTCAGCCAAAAAATTAAAAAAAAAAAAAAAATGACCAGAAGGTATCAGATTTTTGGGTTTAGAACCCTCTACACTCTTAAAAATTATAGGTTTCCACAGAAGCTTTGGGAGTGCTCTGCTAACAATACTTTCGAAATTAAGCTCGGGCTGGCCAGACAGCTCAGCTGACTAAAGCATCTGCTTAGGTAGAGCACAGCGGCAGGGGTTCCAGGGTCCTGTCCCCAGGCGCTGAGGCAGCCATTGAGACTGGGGCTGGTGGCACGCGCCTGTAATCCCAGCGCTTGGGAAGCTGAAAACAGGAAAATCACTATGAGTCGAATCTGCATAGTGAGACCCTGTAGACCCTGTACTAAAATACATTTAAAAAAAAAGAAATTAAGGGCTGGTGAGATGGCTCAGTGGTCTAAAGCACCTACTTAGAGCAAGCTTAGCAAATCACAGGGACCTCGGTTCAATCCCCCAGCACCACATGCCAGCCAGCCCCGCCCCCTGGTGGGCTGAGCTGGCCACACACACACACACACACACACACACGCGCGCATAAATAAAATTTAAAAAAAACTGAGGCATATAAAAATTATCCATTCTTTCATTTAAAAATAGCAATAAATTTGTGATATGGTAACCTAAACAACGTGAATAAATGTGTATTTCAAAGCAAATAAAACCAGGCTCAGAGTGACTGACATGGTTTCAGATTTGTGCTCTAGCCATTTGTGTTAAACAGCAGAAGACAGGTTTCTTTCTCTATCCATTTGCCTACGTTCAAACTGCTCAGCAGCATGGACCACGTGGCCTCTAAGAAACCTTAGTGTATGCTTATGTGAGAATCTGAGCGATAAAGCAAATAATATGTTAAAATAAAAATAGTTTTGAGCCCATTCCAAAAAGGATCTGGAAACCCTCAGGAGTTCCCAGACCTCACCTCCTGAGCTCAGGTTTCGGGTGAGGATCGTTGAGGTGGAGTGCTATGCACGGCCCATGAACTTTGTATAGTAAATGGGCGCATTTTCAGACAGGTGAATTTGACAAGTTGTGCGTACTGGTACTTGAAAAGCCTGGAAAGGTGGTGGTGGCGTTGTCAGGACTGTCTCGGTCAGATGGAGAGTTGTTCATTGCTGATGGTGTTTTCTCTTCCTGCTTGTTTGCATTTTCTGATGCACTTTTGAGTTCTATTTTGGTAATCAAGAAAAAGTAGTCATTTTAAATGGCATTGCAGATCCTTGGACGGGCCCCAGGGAATCAAATGAGGGCTGCTGAAGACCTCGGGCAGATGTCAAGAGGCTCCAGATCCCTGGCTGGCCCTTGGGGAGCCCAGAGCTGCAGGTGCTGCTGTAGGCTGTTTGTTGAACCAGAAGCCTCTGATTGTTGCAAAGGAGATGGTCTTAGGGTCCCAAAGGCTTCTAAGTAGGGTCTGGAGACAACTCAAAGGGTCCACTTACCATCGTGCAGCTAGCCAGAGATGCTTCTGAAGACTAGATGCTGGTCCTATAGTTAAACTCACTCCTTCACCCCATCTCATGAAGCTAACCATAAACCCACTTAGAGAAAACTGGGGTCGTAAAATAGGAACAAATAGGACATCTTGGGGAATAGGGCAAACATTAAACTGCACTGCCCTGTGACAGGCAGATGGTCAACAGCATCTGGGAAATGTAAACCTTGAGGCAATTCTGTGATACTCTTGTAACATTCTGAAAATGAGGCAATGCAGTTACTAAGGAAACCTAAAGCGCATAGAACCAGAAAGCAAGTTCGGGCTGCTACTGACAACTTTGGGAGTCCTGACCCAAAGTCAGGGCACTGGTCAGTCTCAACTTCTCAGGATTAGTTTGTCAGTCTTGTTTGTGTTTCCTCAAATGTGCCCACACTTTTAGATTACACCTGAATTTGCTATGTGGATTGGCGGATTGCTGGTGGTCCTGCTTCTGCCTTTCCTTCCCCTCTACATCACCACATAGAAGCTCAGAGGGCTCCAGAGCTGGCTCTGCTGCTGCTGATCAACACGACTACAGCTGTTGTTGCAAACTTTGTTAGCTTTGGTTTCTTGCTTGTGGTGCGGGTTGAAAGGGTGAATGTACTAGCTAACTGCTATGGGCACAGCTGGCAGCAAGCCCACCAGTGCTGGAATGCATAACTGAGAACTGTGATCAATTTAAGGGGGAAGCTTCATACCTTTTGTGTACTAGAATGGCCATCTTTTGGGGTAGGGTGGCCATCAGAGGGGAGGCTCGTTCTGTGCGCAGTCAGCGGGGTGTGGGAGACTGTTACTGGGAAACTGGGGCATCTGGATTAGTTCCTCTGTATAAATTCCTGGCCATGTGTAGTTCAGACAGTGTCTCAGTGGCTTAGGATGTGTGCGTGTGAGCTTCCAAACTGTTTTAGTAAACCCCCTGTGTTTTGCCCCCAGCTCCTCAGGGTGATCTTGCCTCTGGCACCTCTGCCGCCCTACCCTGCTCTTCCTGCTGAGCCTGCTGCTCAACCCCCTCGCCTACCTCCCAGGTGACCGCCCTCCACACTGCAACAATGGAAAGTGATATAAGGCAAAGGAACTCCCAACCTGAAAGGTTCCCGGGACATCTCATGTTCTCTAAAACTGAAGAATGAATTTTAGGAGCAACAGAAGTTAAGAGCAGGATATATTTATTGAGGGAAAGAAAGCTTCTGTTCAAGAGAGGGACAGGAGGTGACCTGAGTGGTTTGCCAAGGTCCAAGGTAGGAAACATGAGAACTCGCTAGGTGGGTGCAAGGCGGGATAAAATACGGTCAACTGGGGCTGGGCATATAGCTTGGCAGTTCAGTGCCTGCCTGGGAAGTGCAAGGTCCTGAGTTCAATTCCCAGTACCAAACAAAACAAAACAGCAACAGCAAAGAAACAAAACTATGGTCAACCAATAAAATTACAAGCATAACTGCTCAGGTAAAATTGATTAAATCAGGATCAAAAGGGGAAGCAAGTTGTGTAGCAAGTGGGTACGAATACAGAACAGGGGCTCTTCCTGTAGGAGGCTGGGTTAATGACTCTGGCGATTTCAAGGTGATTGACACCAATTTAAAATATCAATCCCTGCTGTTTATCCTTAGGGAGATATATGGGTGCATTTGTTTAATCTTTTGTCTTGAGGTCTGGCCCACAGTGGAGGTGTCTGTCTCCCACAGTTGCAAGTTATCTCCTCTTCAGTACTAGGTCCTTTGAAGGCCCGGCCCTGTCTGCCTGCCTATATTTCTCTTTTTTTTTTTTTTTTTCTGGCTGCCCATTTATTCAACAGAAAATAAAGTCCTCCAACTTTACTGCGGTGGCTGACCACATCCACGACCAAATCCGCCTCTTAACTGGAATTCAGTGGCTGAACGGGCCCCCGCCTTGGCCTTCTTGTCGGCACCAGCATCTGTAGGAGTCCCTGTCGGCCTCCCCGCATGTGAGCCCCACGGGCTGCTCGCCCTGCACATCTTTGGGTTGGGGTCTGCCAGTGTGAGACCGGCTGTGGTGCAGAGTAGCAGACACAATCTCGGGGGGCAGGTGGAGGTAGTCACGGAGACACTGGATGCCCTCGTTCGTAAGGTACCAGTAGAAGTGTCTCCAGACAAACTGTTTTTTCGCATAACCTCAGGACTTGAGAGACTGCATGGCTTTCATGACGTGAAGGTTGGACACATTCTTGTCTGCCAGCTCCGGGTGCTTGGGCATGTGGACGTCTTTCTTGGCCACCATCACCCCCTCCTTCAAAAGGAGCTCGTCAATGGCGATCCAGTTCTTCTTGGGCATCAACATCACAATGGCTATCTGGTCTGAGGCCTTATAATATTTCTACCTGATTCAGCTGCCTACAACAATATGGCAAAGCCTGTTCAGTCAGCCTCACATATCTGCTGCAAGCTGCAGAAGTTAGAAAGTTTAGCAGGAATGAGTCTGACTCAGTTGATAGAAATTGCTCAGAAAGTGTTTCATAAAAGAGAGGATGCAGAATGGAAATACAGACAGGAAAAGAGAAAGTGATATTGGCGGCCGATAGGCAGGAGGGCGGGCTGGGATCCAGGGAAAAGGGAGAGAAAGGCGAACAGGGAAGAGGTCCTCGTGCTTCCCTGGATCCACAGCAGTGCACCTATTGCAAGGAGGGATCTTTCAAGCCAGAATGTCCAAAGCTGCTAGAAAAGGAAAAGAAGGAAGTGTTCAAGATGGAATCAGAGGAAG